GCTCCTTCCAAGCTCGGTATTAGATCACCCACAGGCGCTTCCAAATGACCCAGAAACATTGGCTGCAAAGTTTGGCCCCTACCCAGGGTGTAATAGTCATCGGAGAACATCTGGAAGATCCGCTTCGCGATGGCACCCGTATCCACAGCGAACTGCATCATGTTGAAGCGGCCGCCTGCAACAGTCCCCAGGTGCACATAAGCTAGGGCTACCTGTGACATGGTACCCTTTTCGAGATGTATTGAAATGAGCTTCAGCGTCGATTGATAGAACAAAAGGCTGTTTGACCAGAACGCCGCACTAAGAAGCTCGATGAACACAGGCCCAATCGTCATCAAGACGCGGTCATCTGGCGACGCCCGACGTTTAAGCAATTCTTCTTTGTCGATATTCTGAAGCTTGCCATATATTTGTTGAAATTCGGTGTCGCACGCTTCCCATGTTGTCGGAGGTATAGGGGATCCTAACAAGGAAAGGCAATCTTTGAGAGCCTGGAATGCACCAAAACTATCACCACGAATGGCAAACACTCTGGACTGCAGAATAAACGAACTAGCCATATCGCAAGGATCCCGCGCGTGCTGAAAAGTCGTCCTGATCAAGCTAAGCGCCTCATCAAACATGCCTTGATGCCAATAGCACTCTGCTGATCTTACAAAGAGCTGCAAAGTCTCTTGATACGAGACATCCGGCTGATTGTCGTCCCATGGATCGTCTTGTAAGAGCATTAGGCTGTGAGCAAAGTAGTAGATGCCAGTTGATCTTGCACCAGACTCGCATGCAGTTTCTCCCGCTTGGTACAGCATATCTCGAAATGGAGCCCGGTATGTCTCTTTGGCTTTTATGAGTTCTGCAGCAAGACAGATGTGACGGCTCTGCATATATAAAGCCTTGGATCCGATCGTTGAGTCGTCGTTGTATTCCTCGCCAGCAGTTATCATCTTAGCGATTGTGAAGTGCATCAGCTGCGTGTCCCAATCGCTGTCAAGAGAGTTGCCAGCTGCTGTGAGGTATCGATCGTGGCTGAATCTGAATCGAGCGTCCTGGTCAGCGGGCATGAGTACGTAGGCTTTGAGCGCTGCGTCGAGGGCTGTGACGGCACTCTCATTTTCGTCAAAAAGAGGCAGTCTCCCGGCATCAGCGGGCTTGTTCGCTGGGTTGAGTAGCTTCTGCAAGAGCTCAAACGAGAATGTGCCGCCCAAAAGAGAAGCCCATGCTAGGAGCTTCCTGCTTGCTGATGGAAGCTCCGTCAATCGCTTTGCTATGAAATCAGTCGTCACGGATGAACCGTACTCTGGGCTCTCGAACACTGCGAAAACCTTGTCGAGGTCAAAAACCCAATTGTTCTCCCGCCACTCGTAGTACACGCATCGTTTGCGATAGCAAGTGTCAAGTATCTCGCGTATGTAAAACAGGTTGCCTCGAGACTTTTCCTGGACTACCGCTACCAGAGGGAGGATGTATTGACGATCTCGATGGAGCGTTTCGGCTACATAGTCCGCAGTCTGCGCCTCTGAAAACGGTAGAAGCTGTACCTTGGTGGCGTGGCGTAGTAATGGGATGAGTTCCCGGGGCAGGGTCTCTTCGTTGGTGTACGTAAGCATAAGAACAAGTGGGATTCTAGCCTGCACGATGTGGTGGATCAGCTCAGCACTCTCTGGATCAGCATACTGAACATCCTCTAAGCTCCATGTACAAAGCTTGTATACCGCAAGGAGTCGTAAAACGTCTATAAAGACATTCATGAATCTAGAGGATTTGGAAGCACCTCCACTTCGCAGCCAGGCTTCAGCAGTATGTCCAGCTGATCCACAATGAACGGCAGGAGACGATGCCCGTCGATCCATGTCTTTGGTTGTATCCAGGTCCTTTTGCTGCGCACTTTTTGCTGTACCGTTTGTGTTCAAGAGCCATTCAGGAAGGTCCAGGTAAGTTCGCAGCACCGTCCAAACTCCGCTGTTCCTAAGATAATGGCGCAGCCTCTGATGAAATTCTGTCATAACATCGGCCTCGCTGACTAGAGTAGAAATTGGTAGTTAGCAGTTGCTCTGAAGGAAAGAGCTATGTCTCAGAACAAATGTACATACTATACAGTGTCAGCGTAGTTCGTGTTGGAGAGAACAGTGAGTAAGAGGCTTACCATATCTGTCGGAAGAAGGAGGACATCAATCTTAGGATGGGATCAAAGGGTGCTTTCTTTGCAGGGTCAAATTTGGCCATGGCGAAATAGCCGGTACTCCTCGCTGTGCTCTGTACACTTTGCACAAGACGAGATTTGCCTAATCCTGTGGTACCAGCTATCACTATCACCTGTATCTTGAGATTAGCGTACCTCATCCATGACTTGGGCTGTGATGTGACGACTTACCTCACACCGAGCCTTGCGTCTTAATTTCCGTGTGCTGGCTAGTCTACTCAGGCCGTCATTGGACTGATAAGAGCGAGAGTGAAGGACGGAGCTTTCAATGCTATTGTTAGATCGTCCTCGATTTGCAGATTGCAGTTGAGGTCGGCCATCCACGCTTCCTTCAGCTGTAGAGACTTCTGACTGTGCTACACTGTCCTGTGAATCGTGTTGTATTGACCGAGCATCTCCCATAAAGACGGGAGTATCTGCGGAAACGCTGTTGAGTCTGCTATCTGAGCCTCTCGAGCTGGTGCTCTCTGAAACAACATCGTCAAAGCTCAAGTCTCTTCGTTGATCTGAAAAGGAAGAGCCTGAACTCAAGCTTTGTAGAGTTTTGATGCTACTTCGACGGTGCCTTGACACCCGCTCCAAGACATCTACTATAGTCTTTTTTTCCTTCTCACGTCCAATCAGCTTGAGAGGTAGATTGAAGAAGCAACTGATGTCCTTGGAGCCTACACGGAAGGCCTTCAGTCCTTCGACATCGCCTTCACATAGTAACTCACGGATGCGGGCAAGATCGTGTTTGAGCCCCGACGTGGAATGGTATCTATCCTCGATGTTACGCTGAGTCATGCGCTGGATGACTTCTGAGAGCGCCTCTGGGACGTCTAGACGTCTAGAGGAGATTGGTGGGATCCGCTTGCTGATGACATTCTGCATGACATCGAGAGCTGTAGCGCCTTCAAAGGGCGCCTGACCACCTAGCATTGTGTAGAAAAGGATACCAAGACTGTAGATGTCGGTCCGTGTGTCGGGCTCCGCAGGCATACGGCCGGTTTGCTCAGGAGATATGAAGGCCAACTTCAACTCGATGCCAGTCTCCTTGGATAAAGTACTCCACCCTGCGCTGGTCAGTCCATTTTCAAAGGACCTCGCGCCAGAGCCGAAATTGATCATCTTGACAATGCCGTTCTCGGCGAAGTGGAAGGCATCACCGCGTATTTCGCCATGGACAATTTCGTGACCATGGTGCAGAATCTCCAGACACTCGACTGATCCAACGGCGAAATCGAGAAAGGTAAGGAGGGGCACGCCACGGTTGGGAATGGAGGGGTTTGATTGATGGCTCTGTGCATTGCTGGTGACCTTCCAAAAGTTGGGACCAAAGTTGACCAAGTCGTGGAGGTAGTTGGGCCCAGGGGCTTCGAATATGCTGGCGACGAGCGGCTCCTCACCAGCTTTGGTGGAGAGGCGGACGAACTCTATAGGGCGAACAAAATGCCGGCATTCTGGATCTGATTCCTTGACGACGAGTTTGGCGAGCTGGAACTCGCGCTCCAGTCGCAGAGTCTGTGCCGAGACACGGCATACGACCGGTCGGCCTTCTCGCGCCACGCCCTTGACTGTGGTATTGGTGCGGTGTGTTTGGACGCTCGCATCGGAGCCTGAGCTGCGGTGGGTGCGCGTAACAGTCGGCCGGCTTCGGGTGGCAGAGTCGGGTGAATGCGACAGGGTGGGGGAGGTTACGGCGCTTCGTCCCCTCGATTGCGGTCGTTCCTGCTTGGGCGCAGTCTTTTCGTAGCCAAAGAAATGGTAGTTGTCGTACGACTGGTTGAGTTAGTCGCGGTAGTCGTGGTCCAGGTAGATACGGGTGTCTCTTACAGAGTGGAAGGGCTCAATGGCCGGGTCCCAGCCATAATTCTGGAGCTCCTGCAGGCGCGCAAAGATGTGTGAAAAGCGCTGCGTCCGCCCGCTGTCTTGGGTCGTAGTCATGCTGTCTTCCCGATGTTGGCGGCGGCTAAGCATCTAAGACATGCTCTGGGTAGAATAGGTCGGGTATCAATGTACAGGGCGAAGTCGCAAGTCATTCCATCTGTCCATCACAACACGAGCGTGGGCGCGATTGCCATGGTAGTAGGAGCGCGGTCGTGAAGAGCGTCGGATCGGCGGGAGAGGCGTGATGGGTAGATTCGCAGGCAACGAATGCCAGTCTTCTAGAAGCAGTCGACGCGCATGAGGAGTGCTTACTGATGGCTCCTCAGCCACAGCAGATGGACAGGAGCCATCCATGGATGCGCTCAGACTTCGCGCTTGTTCTTAGACGTCATCATCGACATGGGCACTCCATAAGGAAGGTTTGCACTCGACACGCCTCACACAAAAGCAACAGCCGTCGCCACTAATCAGCCATGTTTCGAAACCAGGCTCACATATGTGCCCATAGCAAATATCACGAGTGCCATGTGTGGCTGACGTGCGGAGTTGGCCCCGCGCACGCTGGGACAACTTGATTTGGCGTAGCGGTAGATCGGCCTGGCGCGTCACCCATTGGTAGCGACATCATCGTGGGTTACGACAGTAGTAGTGCCGTGTGCATCGGCATACCTACACAGCATTATTACTATACTACGCCCCTGGCGCACGCAGAAGACGCCTTGTCGCAATATCCACAGCCACTGGCTCCCGCTCCTTTACCACACCCTGCCTGCCTGCCTGCGACTGCTGCACTGAAGCTGCCCCACTACAGACGGACCGGGCATCCCTCGACATTTGACACGGCATCCCTCGACGTTTGACACATGCATCCGAGCAAGAGGTAGTCGGTCGCCCTCAAGACACCCTTGCACATCCACCATTTCAATGTCACACAATGGACTCTCCCGATCACGAGCATGCCTATTCGGGCGACCTGGGAGAGCCGCAGCGGCCGCGACAGCTGCCTTCGGATCTGCCCACTTCCCTCAATGACAGGCGCCCGGTGACCATCATGAACGAGGAAACCGAGATCTATGATGCATGGCAGGGTAGGTGAAAGCAACGGCTAGGGAAAGAGCGACGCGCCACCGAGACTGACTTCACACAGGCCAGTCGCAATTCCTCACCACGCCCATGCCCGCCCGTCCGCTCGACTTCAACTTGTCGCTCGACGACCCGACGTTTGGTGACGAAGACATGCAGCAACTCGAGGACAGCGACAGCCGCCTGGTGCAGATGTTGGCGCACCAGGCCCGCTTGAAGAACGAGAATGCAGGCGACGAAGCAAAGGTCGTTGCCGATGAGAAGCTGTCACACGAGGAGAAGAGAGAAGCACTACAAGGCCTGTTTACACTAGCAGCATCCAACGGTGAGCTCGAACGGGTAAAACGGCTGCTGGACGGCAAGGCCCGCGAATACATCAACATCAACGGCGTCGACGCCGAGGGCACGCCGCCATTGGTCTACGCAAGTTGCTTTGGACACGAACATGTGGCAGCTACACTGCTCGAGCAGGGCGCGAGTGTCGATTTGCAAGACAAGAACCGTTGGACGCCGCTCATGTGGGCCATGACGAACCGACACAAGGATATCGTTAAGCTCCTGCTCGACCACGGCGCATCGACAGACGTCAAGTCTTCTGGAGGACGGACCGCATTCGACTTTGTCGAGCCCAACACTGAGCTCTCCGATTATCTGCACGAGAGCGGGTACGCCATCGGTAATGTAGGCGTCGGTGACGACTTCTACAGCTCGGGCTTCTCCCAGGATCGCTTTGAGCAGGAGATGCAGGAGAACGATATGAAGCGGCGGATGATGATGGAAAGCGCCTTCAATCTCGAGGTTGATATCGGTAATCTGGGTCTGGACGAACAGCCCGAGGTACGAATCTTAGCCACTCCTTGAATGTTCGCTAATAGCCCCAGTCACCTGAAGAACCAGAAGAAGAAGCCCAAGAGTTCATCTGGGATAGATGTCTCAACGACCAGATGTTTGTATTCCAAGAAAACGAGCTCGAACGGATACTGGACATCATCATTACGAATATGACGCCGCAACGCTCTCCTTCGCAAAAACCAGTACCTGCAAACATACTCTTCCTGAGTGCACGCTATGCACATTACCATGCAAATCCAGAACTCTTGGAGACTTTGCTGGTGTCCGCCATGAACAAGATCAACGATGTTGTAGAGAAGCATCAATGGGACATGACTGTGCTGGCCTTCTGGATGTCTAATGCGACACTTCTGTTGCATTACCTCAAGAAAGATGGTGGACTCATGAGTGCGACTACAGAGTTCCAATTGCAGATGGCAGAACTTATCAATGAGATTTTCATCTTGATTATCCGTGATGCTGAGCGCAGGATGGATAAGAACTTAGATCAAGCTATGCTCGACCATGAGCCGATGCCTGGATTCGAAGATGTACAGTTCCAGCACGAATGGAAAATATTTCGTTCCAAGCCTAAAGCGAAGCCGGTAGAACCTCTCGAGAAACGTTTCCGACCGCCATCTCCCAAGCGCAGAGCACAGCCATCACCCCGGAACATTACCTCTTTGCTCTCATCAACCCTATTTGTTCTCGATCTGTACGACGTACACTCTGTGATCGCTGCGCAGGTACTGTCGCAGCTGATCTACTGGCTCTCTGCCGAAGTCTTCAACCGCATAATGTCGAATCGAAAGTACCTCGCGCGAACAAAAGCAATGCAGATACGCATGAATGTCTCGACGCTCGAAGATTGGGCGCGTTCCAACAATCGGCAACCAGAACACTACGAGAACGGCTCCATGACCTCCACCGGGGAGAATACCGCGGACGCCGCTAAACGTCATCTCGAGCCTCTTGTGCAGCTTCTCCAATGGTTACAATGCTTTTCCTCACTTGGAGAAGACCTAGAGTCGCTTGTGGGGACATTACAACAATTGACACGCCTGTCACCTCAACAGCTACTACACACCGCAAAATACTACCGACCCGAGGTGGGTGAAAAGACCCTTCCTAAAAGCGCTTCCAAGTACATTGTACATTTGCAGAAAGCAGCTGCAGATCGTAAGGCTGCGCGCGCAAGATCGCCCAATCCACCGTCACAGTCCGAAACTCCATCCACACCAGTCAGAGGCACCTCTGAAAAGCCTCCCGAGCCATCGCCTGCGCCTTCACGAATGTCAGAAGAGGATGAAAAAGACGAAGCACCCGATGAGCTTCTCTTGGACCCTTCGTACATGCTGCCATTTTCGCTCCCAACATCAACAGATATGCTCATCACCTACGGTGCCGGGTTTGGAGGTGTCAACAAAGAGCGTGAGCGGAAATACATTCCTACCGTCCCACCTGAGTTTATGGCTAAGCTGGATTTGAATGGGGGCAACAACAAAAATGGTGGATCTTACTACTCGGAGTCGAATTGGAACGATCCAAGCTATGGGTGAAGATGAAGATTGGTAGGATTGAGAACCTTGCTAATTGAGACTTTGGATAGCCACTTTCACACTGCCTGGCTAAGACGAAGACCAAATTCTTTCAAATTCCGCTCTACGAGGCCTTGTTGCTGACCGCTGAGTTTATCGTCGCGTTGCCATTCGTGGACTGGAAACATTCCCGGCATGTGATTCGACAGATGGACCAAGTAAAGGTTCTGTGCCGACTACGCTTCGGCATACAGTCCGATCTGATGATATAGACACTGGCTCGGCTGTAACCGTGGAAGCTTTGCAGATTCAGTTAGGGTGGTCGAGGCTTGCGATAGCGCAGAACTTGGATGTTACCATAGTATCAGGGTATGCATAGATCTGTTTACCATTACTACAACCTATCGAGTCACATATCAGTACGTCGGGTTGCACCATCGTGCGGCCCGTCGGGCTAACAGCAAATTTATTGTAGCATCGGCACAATTTGTAGCGAGAAAGCCTCAACATTGTATAGGCAATGGATTGGCATGACTGTCATTTGTATCGAGTAAGGCAGGTATCTAGGTTATCAATACTACTCCGCGATCGGCCCCTTCAATATCCGCTCGGCGGATTCCGATAGCAGCAGTCTGTTGGTAGGGCATGCAGGGTAACTAGCTACCCCACCAGTGATGCCCCGCCATAACTTGGTAGTACCTCAGCGAGATCCCCAAACATTGTCTTTGCTTTTTGTTCTCTTGCATAAACTTACCCAGCCTCTATCAATTACACAATATTCCATACATTATGGAGATCCGCAACGTCCTACCAGAAGACGTCAAGAACGTAGCCACAAACAATGCGCGGTCGATCCCAGCTGACGAGATCGACGCGACCTTCAAATCACAATACACCGGTACAAACCTCATTCTTTCTATACTTTTCCACACAGAAGCTGATACCCCTCAAAGATCTCATATCCGCGCCTCTTGGTTCAAAAGTCCTTTCCTTTAGCGACGAATGGTTCGCCGCAGCCGAGAACCTTATCACGCCGACACCACCGATTCGCAAACCCGGTGTCTTCGTCCACTCGGGAGCATGGTACGATGGCTGGGAGACCCGGCGTCACAATACCGAACCCTTCGACTGGGTCGTCCTGAGGCTAGGTACCGCCAGTGGAAAAGTAGCCGGTGTAGAAATCGACACTTTTGCATTCAACGGGAACCACGCCCCTGAAATCGCTGTCGAAGGTGCATTCATCACAGACGAGAAGGAGGAAGAGGAGGTGAAAAAGGCCAGCTACGCAGGCTGGGAAACCATACTATCGAAGCAAGAGTGCGGGCCTAGCCAACGGCATGGCTGGAAACTAGACAGCATCACAGACAAGGCGTACACGCACGTTAGGCTGCTCATGTACCCTGACGGCGGCATCGCGCGCTTCCGGCTTTACGGCGTAGCCGTGCCAGTCTTCCCAGAATCCTCCGACGCCGTCTTTGAACTCTCGGCCACAGTCATGGGCGGCGTCGCAACGTCATGTTCGGACCAACATTTTGGCACAAAAGACAACTTACTCCTGCCCGGTCGCGGAAAGGACATGGGCGACGGGTGGGAAACGAAGCGTACGCGCGGCGAGCACGTCGACTGGACAATCGTGCGCTTAGGCGCAAAGGGCGAAATCGATCACATTGTCATTGATACTGCGCACTTTAGAGGTAACTTCCCACAGAAGGTGCAGGTCTTTGCCGGTAGCTTTGATAAGGAGCCTGCGAGTGATGACGGGGGGTGGGTTGAGGTGCTGGAGCCGCAGAGGTCCGGGCCGGATGTGGAGAAGGAGTACAAGGCTGAGCTCAAGGAGGTCAAGGGGAGGGGGTACACGCATGCCAAATTGGTCATCATCCCGGATGGTGGTGTGAAGCGGTTTAGGGTGTTTGGAAAGAGGGTTTGAGAGTGAGTTTGAAGGTTGGTAGGCTGGATGGATGGAAGGAGAAGTATCTCAGTCACGCGGTCGTCAAAGATGTGTCTTGGGTATCGTTTTGCGCCGTAGACTTTACAATCTAACCACTCTCAGTCAAAACCGTTGAGCTGCAGTAATTATGCAATTACCATGGTAAGGCGTGAGAACATATGTCCAAAGTGTTGTGACATGTCATTGAAGGATCGACAGATGACGGCCGAGGTAGTCGACATGTCTTAGCGCCTTGGTAAGGCGTGCACGTGGGGTGGGCCTCAATGCATGTCGACGCGACCCGCAATGTCGTCTCAAAGACCATCTTCCATTCTCAATTCTTTCCATCGTAGAACATTGGTCTGATTTGCCCGTATGGAGGAAGAGCACGAGTTCAATATTGAGAAGGTGTCGCCGATATGGCTCATCACGGCACTTTGCGTTGTGCCGTTTGGCCTGTATCAATTGCTCAACTTCCTTAGTCCGTTGATACATCGGTTGACGGCTATGAAGATTTCCGCGGTATGTCTACATTGATGGAAAAAGACATGATGCACGTGAAGAGAAGTACTGATGATGGCGATTCTCAGATGTACATCTACCCCATCAAATCGCTACGAGCGATTAAAGTCACAGAAGCCATTGCCACAGCCCATGGATTCAAACACGACCGTACAATACACCACCATTCATGCGGATGGAATCAACAACAACAAGAGAAACCGCTAACACCTCCACAGGTTCCTTCATGCTCCTCCAGGAAACCAAAGACGGCTACAAAAACATGGCCGTAGCAGGCTACCCCGAAATGACGCAATTCCTCCAGGAGATGAAAGACAACACCATCACCGTCAAATACATTGCGTGTGGAGACGTGTCGAAAGAAACATCAATCGACATACCTCTGGAGCCAGACACGGAAAAACTGGATCCCATCGACATCAACATGCACTCAGCCCCGACAACCGCTCATCGCATGCCGCAAAAATACAACGACTGGTTCACCTCCTGCTTCGGGTATCCCGTCATCTTCGTCTACCTAGGCGCCAATCTCCGCGACGTAAAGTTCCAGGACATGCAGCCGCTGGAACCAGATCCGCTGACCCGGTTTCTAAGCAAACATGTCCCGTTTACAAAGTCGTATGTGGAAAAAGTAATGGGTTTGCATAAATCTGGGGAGGAGAGCTGGAAGATTACTTTTGCGGATTGTGCGCCTTATCTTTTCACTTCGCAGACTAGTCTAGACGACGTGTCGTCCAGGCTTCCAGAGGGTGTGGATATGGATATTGAGAAGTTCCGTCCAAACGTCGTTGTCGAAGGTGCTTATGATCCGTATCAGGAAGACTATTGGGGTAAGCTTACGGTTAATGGGAGAACGGAAATCATCCTCCCGCATAATTGTGTGAGGTGCAAGAGCATTAATATTGACCACAAGACGGGTAAACCGGGAGAAGGGCCAGCGGGTGAGGTGCTGAAGAGGTTGCAGAAGGATCGGAGGGTCGATATCGGGGCGAAGTGGAGTCCGGTCTTCGGACGGTATGGGTTTTGGGGGAGCAATGGAAAGAAGACGGAGGAGGTGTGGAGGGTGGGAGATAGAGTCAATGTGGCCAAAGTTAATGAGGGGCTGACCGTCTGGAGTAAGTTTTCTCGCAGAGGCGCCGATGATGATGCCAAGACGCTTTCACTGACTGTATGCAGGTTGGCCTGGCGTTGGGTAGTGGTGTGCAAAGTGGTGCTTCCTGAATGTACTAGTACAGGCAATGGGATTAGAGCAGATATTCACAACTATGAAAGTATTTTGTTATTTTGTCAGATAAGAAGACAGCCTTGCGACATGGCGTATTCGATCGCCTCACAGCAAGTGCGGGTGCAAATCTGGCCTAACCTTTGGGGGGCTCGCAAGCCTTCCACTTCCCTCCACACAAGCCTGCTACCAGTCTCCTTCTGTCCCCTCTACCGCTTCTTCAATTCCTGAGTTTCCTTATGTCTCATCGCGTTGAAAGCATCAAGCTCAGCCTGAGTGTATAGCCATGGATGGTTCAATTCATGATAGAACTCAAGACCTTTTGGATAGTAATCGTAGACTAATCCGTCATACAAGACGTCTAAAGTCAGCAAGAAGAATCTCATGAGAAGAATGAGGGAATGGCTTACACGTTATACCCAGCCTCTTCATTTCACCCAGAAGTGACGGAGGATGCCCCGATTTCCAAGATTGACGATACATGCTCAAGCTACGCAAGCTCGGGAAGGAAGTTTCTTGAGCCAATGTTACGTCCTTGAGCCATCGGCTCATACTGCGTCTGCATTGGGTCAAAACCAAAGTTTCCAGTTTAGGTGGGATTATTTCTCCAGGTGGAATGCCAGCAAAGTCTTCAGATGTCAGTATAAGATGTCGTAGCTCGGGAAAGAAGAAAGGTAGTTGTCTTTTTGGCACTCCTCCACGAAACTCGCAACCACTGGGTAGTTCAAGGAAAGTGAGTTTGGCGCTGAGTTGGATTGGAATGCGGATGTGATGCATTTCAGACATCGATCGATATGAATCCTGTTCCGAGACTGACTGAAGATAGATGAGGCCGGAAAATGGAGTGCCACCAAGGTATAGTGAGGAAAGATTCGGTAGTAGGATTAAGACAAGGCTAATTAGGTTGCCAAGCCATCCAGACTTACCCTGAAGAACGTGAATGCATTCTTGCTTAACTTCCTCGTCGAGTTTCAAAGTGTGAAGAATGCCAGCACATTTAGAGGAAATTTCTGCGTCCTGACCCCGGACACGCGCAGGGTCTGATATCACCCAGCTTCGGTGAATCTTGTTCGACTCGAGGGCAAGGCTTTGAATCTTCGACTGTAGGTCCGGGTACTTGAAGAGAGTAGTGAGAAATATGTCGATTTTACATGGGTGAAGAATCGGAGTGGTAAAGAGGACCTCGCGGACGAGTGGTGCCAGCCGTTTACATGTCAAGATCAGGCTCAGCAAGTCGGCTTGAGGCTTGGGATGCTTGACGCTCTGTAGGAGGTAGTAGAAGATGCGAAGAAGGGCTTCGTTTGGAAGTCCGAGCAGGACTGCCATAGCCGAGGGTATTAGTGCTCACAATGGCGTGTTGGGCGTGTGGTTGCGTTGTTGAGGAAGGTGAGAGAAGGAAGAAGGCGCAGTGTGTTTGCTATGGCTGCGCAAAGACCACATCCAGTTAGCGTTCGCTTGAGTGCTTAAATCGACATCCACGTATGAGGAAGGTGAGAGACACTTTCTGATCACGTGCTGCGGAGTGTTTACACTCTGGCATTTCGCAAGATAGGTAAGTTCTGGCTGTACAAGAACCATGTAAGACGTACGCTGACCTCGTGAGTTCACATATACAGTTATGCTTGATCTTTTCGTTATGTTAGAACCAGAAGACGGTAGTAGACCACACTGAATATTGCACGTGTAAGAAGTTGACTCACTTTCTCGACAACCGCACAAAGCTCACCATAGAACAATACCACACTCCAGGTCTCAGTATATAACAATATCTTCAATTATCTCTCTCTGTGCTATCACCATCAACAACGCACACCCAACACCACCTCACCCTTCCCATAACGACAACAACAAAAAGCAAATATCCCTATCCCTATCCCTTTCCCATAAACAAACGCCATGCTCTTGCGCGCATGTCCTTCTAATATGATGATGATGATGACGATGATGACGATGAACGTCCCGTCCAAACCCAAAGAAAAAAAAAGCGGCCTACAAGCCTTGAGAACAGCCCAACCATAATTGAACATGCTTTGCTTTGTTCCAACTATACTGTTTGCCGCCTATATCGATTCCCAAATGACTCCCTTTTTCTTTTTTTAGTGAATCTGAAACGCCATGGCGAATATGCTGCTAGCGGTAGGTAGGCAGTGTCGAGAATTTGGAGAGACGCGGTCGTGAAGTATGGAAATCGTAACTCTTATTTACAATGTAATGCGGAGATAGTGGCGTGTTCACCATGTTTCCTGTGGTCTTGTCAGTATATGTGTCAATCGAGTGCTAGAAATGTACTTACAGCGATGTACTGCCCATCCTCCCTCTTTCTGGCCCAAAACTCCTTGGCCTGCGCTTCGCTCAAACGGCCCTTTTGCATGGCCACGTCAATCAAAGACTCCTCAACACCCTCGCCCATGCCCTTACTAGAGCCACAGACAAAGATGCGTCCATCAAGAGCATTGATGACGAACCAGACAATATCAGCCTGTACGCGGACCTCGTCCTGAACGTATTTGACCTCGTTGGAGCCTCCAACCTTCACCTTTCGGCTCTGCACAACCTTCTTGATTTCGCGCTCGTGATCGCCAAGCTCACCAGAGTAGAGCTCATCGAGCATAGAGTCTCGGACTCCTTGGATGAGCCAGATCTTGTTGGCGCAGTTGGCGTTCTTGAGTCGATTCAGGATGAAGCCTCGGAACGGAGCCATGCCTACTCCCGCTCCGATGAGCACCATCGGGCCTTCGCCACCAAATTGCTTGGAGAGCGGGTTGGCCATAAGGCCGCGGAACATGGGTACGCGAAGGTCGAGGATGCTGCGGGGATCGACACCCTCGCTCTCTGTTGAGATGAACGAGTGTGCGAGGCGTTCCATGAAGCCACTGCCTACACCAGTACGTGTAGCACCCTCCGCATGCCAATCGGGTGTTTCGTGAATTGTAACGGCCATCTCGATCAGGCGACGGGTGCCGGGAAGGCCGGGGCGAGCTGATGAGATATGGGGGTCGTTCGAGAGGGAGTAGAATCGAGGCATGAGTTGGGTGAGGACGGAAAGGAGGTGTGGGAGCGGCGGCTTCGACGAAGGGAATGCGCTAAGCATCTGTGAGACTGTAAAGTGAGAAGTTGTGCGCAAGTCGCAGAAGGCTGCTTGTCCTTGGGCCGAGCAAAGATAGGTCAGAATCTTCTCTTCGTTCGGGGCGTCGGCATATTCAGCGAGCACGCGGAGCAGGTTCTTGGTCGGTGGGTGTGACTGGATGTCGGCGCACCAGGTCAACAGTTCGCGTCGGGTTGTGACAAGCTCACGGGCTTGGTCTTCGCCCCAGATGGTCGGCCACCTTCCGGTCTGGGTCTTGAGTGTGACTGGCTTGTCGCGGACAAACTTGGGAATGCAGAGGAGATCGAACAGCTCGTCGACCATTTCCTGCGAGTTGGGCGGGCAGATGCCGACGGCACCACCAACCTTGAAATCGACGCCTCCCTCGTCGGGGTAGTCGGTGACATCAATGTCGAAGTGAATTGTCCTCTTCTCAGCGCCCGGCTTGGTCAACTCTCGTGCGTGGTATAGCGGCGCCGAGTAGACCTCGTAAGGCGGGTGTGGTTGGACGTACTTTGGCGGCATCTTGTGCACCTCTGAGACATATTTTGTGTCCTTGGAAGGCAGCGGCTCGAAAGACATGTTGACTGGAGGCAGCGGAATCGTATCGGTTAGCTCGCTGTCGAGGGCGAGAGGGCCCAGTTGGAGATTGAGGCTCCTAAAGGCATGGTTGTCGGGGACGACGACAGGTATGAAATTGGGCGACGACGAGTCCGGGGCCAGTGTCTTGAGAAGGCAGCATCCTCCACCACAGCACTGGCTAATGAGCTTGGTGGCTGTCTCGCCCTCACCCAGTATCCGTCGAATGTCGTTTGGGTTGTCTGAGATGAGAGTGGTGGATGCTCGCCGGGGTCGCGACTGCTCCGAGAAATTGACAGCCGAGGTAGGCAGCGCCTGTAGCTTGTCGACTACCTCCTCGACGCCCTGGTCGGGCTCAGTCATGGGCGTCATCGGGGCCTCGGAGTCATCGCTGCTGTTGGTCCACAGCGTCGACTCGCCTGATGATTTGGGCGACGTCTGCTCTGGCTGTGATTGCGACGGCTGCACTGAGAGCTGGGGTATGTCTTTGGGCTCAGCGGGAATGGGGTCTTCAGGGTGCGAGGTCGACGTGTGTGGTATGGGGCTGGGCATTGTCGCTGTCGTGGCTGCCATGTGTCTGCGTGGTGGAGTGAGGTGGAGGAGGAGCGGCGAGCGTGCTGAGGACGCGACAAAGGGGACTGCTAGCGCAAACCATGGTTAGCAAGAGCTGACCTGGTATTACTATGGGGTGTTCAATGCATCAAGAAAGCGCGATGTGGGTGTGCATCTGCCATTTGCTTGTTGAGCCGCGGAGGACGGAGGTGTGCGACAACGAGCATGTGGGGGATGCGTGGTTATCTGATGCTTTGGTGATGCACCGAATTTCGTTATCAGATCGTGGCCATCACTCACCTCGACTGGCTGACAAACGAACACGACCGAGTGACAGCCGCTTGCTAATGCCCGAGACTGGTGACACGATGGATGGTGACTGTGTATAGAATGGTATTAGGCGGGTTCTAGCCGTGGTAGAGGGTATGAGCATGAGGAGAGGACTGGTGGTGAACAAATGTTCGACTGAGCCCGGACGCTTTTCCACTGCCGATCCACGACGCCTTCAAGCCTGAGATGAGCATCCCGAATGCCCACTTCTGCCGAATGACGCTTGTCCACGCCCCATCGCCGAAGCCGCTCGTATTCCCACCTGTCTCGTCCTGCTTTATCCGAAAAGAGGCTTTGATTCGGCCGTCTTCCGTCTATCTTGGCTGCGCCCACGGCACCAGCTATATCTCCTGATCATGGTACTCATCAACGCAATATACTGTTGACCGCAAGTACTACGAGCTGAAGCGCAGACCTTCTCACCACATAATCGCGCAATCTCTGTAACATGCCACTGTCACGCCGCCCGACCCTCGGTCTCTCGGCAGTAATCGCATCTGATAACCACATTTCGGCCCTGGGCCCGACCCCGCCAGATACGCCAGATATCCATCGTGACTCTGGCCGCGCTTCTCTGTGAAGAGACTAACTCTACCATGTTTCCCCTCATCTTGATCGCATTCAGCACTCTCGCCAAAATATCGCGATCTGGTACTGCAGCACTATTACGTCGATGCAACGCCACCGGCTTTTACGGGAGAATTTACCCTATCAGAACCTCACTCTACTGCATGTAAGGATATGCCTGGCAAATACAAACTCAAAACTGTTTCTCAACATGCCACACTACGCCACAGCAAGGCTGACGTGCCGCCTTTTACTTCCGCGAACACACGCAGGGTCCGCGTTGTTGTCGTGTTCCGCCGTCGTGGAAGAACGTTGAGAACGCTCTGTTAGCGGCCCCACACGAGTCGAGGATCTGTGTCGCAGCTGCCACGACCCTGGATTCGGGCACTAAATTCGCCACGACAATGTGGAGGTTGTGAGATCACTCGGACAGCCTGTTACCGCTTATGGTAATCATGACTAACTCTCACTGCAACATGACGGAAGACCATACGTCGCATTCTGGTAATACGGTCAACTCACCCGCCGACAGCCGACCCACTCTAGCTAGGACATGTATTGTTAAACTATTGGGGAAAGAACAAAGAGTAGTGACTGCTGTCTATATTCTATCCCCCACTTTCCGAACTCCCAAGTCTACATGTACTAGTCTTCATCGACTCCATGATTTTATCTCTGCAAGTGGGAATGCGCACCATTGTTTGTGTCGATGTCGCATTCCAAGCGGTGATTACAAGATTCCGGATGGTCTGTATATGCTTTGGGTTTGTGTGTGCCTCGTTAGCTGCATAGTAGCTGGTGCTATGTAAGTATGCAGACCAAGTCCAAAGTGGTAGACATTTTCTTCTCTCTAATGTCTTCGCAAAACCGATACAGGAGTACTAGACCAGAGCTTTGGCTGCGTAAGCTAGTTTGGCAGGTGCGTGAATGGAAGCATATTGAGTGATTGATATAATTTCAGGAGTGAGACTTGTGTAATGGGATTCCGCCTCTTCCCCTCAACCTCTATCAATATGATGGACGTGCTGGTAATGAAATGCAGGCACAACGCTGTCGAGTTACACTGTATTGTATCGCAGTAGAAGTCTGTTTACAAACAAGCACTTAGCTTCACTATATGCAGCTGTATATTTCCCCCCAACCTCTTTCTAGATTGTTTATCTTGTTCAACTTCTAAGAACATAACGAAGTCTCAACCATATTTCTCAAGTAC